CGAAAGCTCAATGGAGACATCGTCAAACCGGCCTTCTCCGACTCCAACTAGTGGTGATATATTGACTTTCGCTCGGTCATATATCAAAGTGGGAACACAGCCGCATTGCAACCTTGGAAGTGAAGGTTGCCAAATGTGATGTGCGTGTGCGATGCGCGTCGCGGCGGATGGCGCGCATACGCGCACGGCGCGTCGCACTAGAGCGGATCTGGACTTGCCGGATCGCTGATCTCCGAAAGCATCTATGTAGTCATCCACTCACAACTCTACAACTGCACCTCAACCAATAATGAGTGGCGATACAAGATTGAAAAAGAAGCGGAGAGGCGGCCCGCGCAGTAGAACAGGTATATGCCGTGATCTATGAAACTCTGCTGCGATGCTGAGATAAGCTAATGCCATAAGGTTGGTACGTCTGGCTGCTATTTTCATCGCGAAAACCTGTACTTCTGGCTGACTGAGTCGCTCCAGCGCCACCTGCAAACGCCGTCACACTCGTTGCGATGAGAAAAGGCCAGTATGCGGGAATTGTGAACGCCTCAACCTCGACTGCGAGCTATCCGAGGAGATCGTATGGGCTACCCCTCGTGTCGATACAACACCGGACGAACCAAACAATGATGCGCCGCTTCTCGTTGACGTGTTTAGGACACGGATGAATGATCTTGACCTTCCTGAAGACACTTTGTCAAATCAGAACTACATACCTGCTAATGGAGTCACGACAGCAGGTTCCGACGAAGCGAACGGTCCGAAGAAGGTACGCTTGACACCAGAAAGCGCCTTTTTACTCCAGACCTATGTACGCACCGTCGCAACATGGATGGATATCTTTGATCATGCCAGCACCTTTCAGCACAAAATCCCACAGCTGGTCCTCAGATCGCCGCTTCTGTTTCACTGTGTATGCGCCTTTACCGCCAACTATCTAGCCCTTTCCAATTCGAGCCATGATCCTTCTTGGCAAGTCACAGCTTCCAAGCATTACGGCGAATCGTTGCGTCTACTCATAGAAGCTTTGAGCATGCCTTCGCACGAACATGCGCTTACCGCAAGTATGCTGCTCTTGAGCTACGAAATCCACGGAGCTTTGCGCTCTGAAGACTATCGGAGACACTTCCTAGGCCTTACAGTACTAATCAAATCACGACATGTTACTGCACAGTCAAGCGGCACTGATCTGGCCAACTTCTGGATCTATATCCGACACGAGATCGTTGTAGCTATGGCTAGCGAGCAGCCTCTGGTACTAGACCCTGCAGAATGGGAGGTGTCCTGGGTAGAGGGTGAGACTAGAGAAGATATTTTGGGAAATCACATGCTTTGGATATTAGCGCGCGTTCTCAATCTCATCTTTGGACCAGATGGACGAACTGAAGCAGGTAAAGAGCAGCGCCAAAGCTTCCTGCACGAGATCGAAATGTGGCGAAGGGGGCTTTCTGACACGTTTGTTGGTATTTCATATGGGGAGAAAGACGAAGATGGCTTTGGCAAAGTATACTTCCCAGTGGCGGCCGCAGCCGCCACAGCGTTTTGTACGTTTGTAGACGCACGTAGCGCTCAACATAATCTAACGGGTTCAGGGTATCACATAACACATATTCTGCTCTACGCAGAGCCAGAGCTTCAAGACGAGGCATACATTCCCCTGATCCAGGAGCAGGCTATGGAGATTACCGATATAGCAATATCAGATTTCCCCCCATCGCTGATGGTATTCTCTACGCACGGTCTTTTCTATGGTACGTATCCATTCTTCCGGCTGCATATAGTCAAATGATTTTAAGATCACAGCGAGATGGTCACTGATACGTTCCAGCCGCGAAACATATCCATGGGATCTCAAGAAAGGCGCGTATCTGGAACGTCTTGAACGAGGTTGAGCGGCAAACTGGATACAACACGAGTACGACCGTGAGGCTTCTCCAGACTTTGGTGGAGGAAGGCGCACAAAGCCATAGCGCTAGTATCTTATGAGGGATTCCTTTTGCTTCGAAAGGGGAGCCATCGTAGCTCACCAGTCTCTGCCTACCAAATACCTGGAGAATGGCCGGCATCGGACCGAGCCGCCTCGTTGGTCAACTGCGGGCTGAAGCGAAGCCAACGACTGATCAAGCATTGACTGCGAGGCTTCTGGGGTGATGATGGGGTCGGAAGTTTTCATCCTATAGCATTGTCTGGGTGTAGCGACTTCGGTCACACTCCAGAATAGTGGCGCGTAGAGCACACCTCTTACTGGTAACCATTGCCGTTACCCACCCCACGTACACCATCAGGCCCAACACGGATGCTGGAAACAATTCAAAGACATCTCCAAAGACATGGTCAATCACGATTTCAAATTTGCTTATCTATCAGGTTTCGTTCCGAGACAGAGCTGTGACAAGATTTGGCATGCGCAGCCGGGTTCTGGCGCACGTCGCGAGGCTGCGCCGCCTGCACAGCCCGCGAACAGTCGGGTAGGCAGCAGCAACACAACCAGTCGAAAGATGTCCCTTGTTCTAACAAGCGACTGGGCAGCGCAAATCAGTACCCTATTCGCGACATTCGTGAGCGTATCGCATGAACTTGTTCAGCTTTTGGATATCGACAACGCCACAACTTCGTTTATGCGCGGGTAGTCTCAGCCATGCACGACAGGTTGTTTCGCGCAGCCTCCACGAGAGCGTTGATGGGGCTCTTGGTTATATTCGCCACTCCAACCGATTTCTGAAATGCCATATTCATCATTCTATCCCACTCCATTATGGCACCTCCACTCAACTCTCAAGATGATCGTGCAGCATTCGTTGACGCTTGCATCAACAAGCGTAAGAAAGCGATGCATGCTTGGGAGTCACTTGGTTTGATCAGTGAGAAGTTACACGATGAGCAACACGGCTACTTCGTCAACAAGGAAAAGGCCGACAAGGCTAACGAACTGCAAAGAGTGGTTGAGGGAATAGCAAAGTCGTTCGCTACCTCGTATCGTGGCACCATTGAAGAACTCCATACTTACCTGGCTGAGGAGAATGCCTTCTCGGAAGATGTCCTCCGGCTCGGACAAGAATTTGGAGTGATGATATGGGGCCGTATAGAAGACGGCGAAATACGCTCGTCAGGTGAATCCCAAGGAAACGGCATCGAGGAGCAGGACTGGGACGACCCAAAAGACCGCCAGAAGTGAGCACTTGATGCGTTCTCATAAACGACCTTACTGACTCCCTCTCAGTATTCTGTTCTACATCCGATGCTGGCTCATATGTACCGTGGTCAGAGAGTACAAGGCGACTCCACGAAAAGCGAAAGCAAAAGCTCGGACACGGGACTTGAGTCCATCTCAAGATAATCCAAATGAAGACACCGTTGAAGATCTCGCGGAAGGTGATAGCCCTAGGATCATGGGCGTATCTTTTAGAGCGCCAGAGCCACCACGTATGTATCCAACACCGGAACCGCGCAGAGATACGACATTCACCAGTGCCAACGAGAAGACTACAAGCACCAGCTTCACCTCTGTGAACAAGACCACCACACCGAGTAAGAGGAAAGCGCAATATTCCCACGAACGAACACCTTCTGGGAAGCTTTCGAAGCCTTCAAAGGGCGGTCGAACAATCCCTGTCCTCACTAATCAGTCACGAGATCCCTACTCCATCCCCATATCTCCTCCCGCGTTCTCTCCCATATCCCCTCCTGCGTTTCCGAACCTGGGCCGCGCATCGTTTCAAAGACGAAGAGAAACCACATACGACTCAGATGCGACTTGGATGCCGCCTCGTGAAGAAACCGCAGACGCGGAAACGGTGGTCGATGCGGAGGATGTCCATCCCGGAGAAGTTGGTAAGTTCTTTACTGCTCCAGCAACATAAGGTACTTAAGCTAACCTTGATCAGATTCAAGGATTCAGAAAGACATTGCTACATCCAACGCAGATGACATGCAGTACGAGTACGATAACGACATCAACAACGCCGCCGGCCCATCGGGCACCTACCGAAACCCCCTCAGACAAGATTCCGTCATACCAGACACACAAACGCAAAACGATGCAGTAGACGCTATCATCTACCCTCCAAGCGGCCAAATCATTCAAATCGACGAAGACATATCAAGCGATGCATATACCGACGCCATAATCCGCTCCCTCATCTCCGACCCCTCCCCAACGACGCGGCAAACGCGTATCTACCGTCTCGAACTCTACAGACTGCTCGTAGCTTATCTAAACGGCATCAAAAACTTTGACCCTACCAACTACGACTCCGCTGCGGAAGAACGCATGGACTTTCTACTCAACCAATTCCACTGCACCGATGCTGATGCGTGGCAGTCTGATCACAACGATAGTGCGCTTCGCCTGCATCTCGCGTTCGAGAAATGGATGAGCATGCGACATCGTCTCGCCGCTTTTCGCAGTGTAACAGGATATTTTGGCGCGCCGAGGAGGCAGTGGGAGGAACATTTGAGGGGTCTGGATGATGTACCGCATGCGGAGGCTATTCTAGCTTTTGTGGATCTGAAGGATGCTGGGGATGGGGAAGAGAGTGGGAGGGTGCTTGGTGATGGGTTTGATAATGATCTTATGATGATGTTTGATGGATTAACGAAGTTTCAGGATTGTAATGGGCCAGAGGCTTTCAAGGGTGTAAGGAAGTTTAATGAGAGGTTGTTGGTGTGGTTTAGGGATGAGTGAATAGGTGGAGGTGGGCATAAGATAAACCACGCAGCAGATGTAACTGAGACGATACATGATGCGCTTGCTAGTCTGAGTTCCCTCGCCATGAAATCTATAGATGAGGTAAAAGTTTCGGACAACCATGGGGTATATGGACTGATCACACGTGCATGGTTCGGAACGTTGTAATACCTAGGTACCGAGGGAGTGTATAAACTCTCGCCCACACAACTTTGCAGCGACTACGCATCCGCCCTTCTCGATCACACTCTCCATGATTGCGACCATTCCTTCTTGCTTCCAGTCAGCCAGTAACTACCAGACTTGTCACGACACGCAGCAATTATCCGGCCCAAGGTCCGGCGCTAGCGCGGAGGGCGATTGCTTCGATCGAGCTATCGGGAATGCACGAGCGGGAAAGTGGGTAGAAACCCAAGGTGGCTTTTGAATGGAAGTAGGCGCGGATCTCGTTGCGGAGGAAACGACATGTTATAGATAGCTCGGTTGGTGCCATGTGGTCGATGTAGGTGGTTAGTGGCTCTTGTGGGCGCGCAGTCCGATTCTGCTTGGGTTCCTGGAGACAGAGGTAGTCGTAGATATCGTAGCGCAGTTCTTTGGGGAGACTGAGGAGAGGGCTGGGGGGAGTGAATGGAGACATGGTGGGTGGTGTGAGTGTAAGCGGGAGATGGCGTGGATTGGGTTAAGGGTACGAAGGTCTATTTAGACTTTAGACAGTTGGATAGAAGACGATAAAATGGAGGTAGATTTATGACAGTCAGGTACTTTCACAAAGTGACATGCGGGTTGGCGTTGTGGCACGCCTTGTGATGCATGATGACGTACTACTTGATGTGCTTTTGGGGATCTGGTCATGGACGAAGAGGTCGGGTTCGCAATATCCCGGAGCCTGACCTTCCCAGGTAGTGCAACCATAAGTAAAATATTGTATGCGTCATTGTCACTAGCAGACCACAAGTAACTCAAAGAGCACGAGATTCGGACAGAAGCATAGAATTGTTACATTTTCCGTCCTTGCTCCAACGCCATGCGAATGCAAGTCATGTAAAGAAGCATATTACATATCCCATGTCTAACTCCACAGCCTCAGCGTCCCATCCGCACCAGCCGATACACACCACGGCTCCCTCGGATGCCAGTCCAGACCCATAACACCCAGCCTGCTCTTGACCTTGTGTCCGCGCAGTACCTTCAAAGGAACAATAGTAGCGTTCTCCATGAGGTCACCCACAACCTTTCCGTGGAAGATCTGGATAGTGCCGTCGTCGGAGGTATCGGCGAAGAGAGGCAGACCGCCTTGGTGGAAGCGCACTGAACGGATGGCTTCCTTGTGGAAACGGAGGGTCTTGTAGGGTTTATTGGAGAGGTCGAGGTCGTGCCAGAGGAGGCGCTGGAGGGGGAATTAGTATGCGCTTTACTAGTGTTCTGGTATATGGGAAACTTACCTTGTCGTATGTTCCGACAATGATGTTATCACCACCGGGATGCACGTCAATGGATGAGATCCATTTAGCACCTGGTTGCAGGATCTTGACGAGTTCCTGCTTGGCGAGATCGTAGCTGCGGATAGTGTTGCGGGTGGCGACGAAGAAGATGGCTTTGGAGGGGTGGAATTGGGCGGTTTGCGCGATACCCTTGAGACGGCGGAAGGGGAGCTGGGTGAGATGTTTTGAGACGGTGTGGATCGCTACGGCTGTGCTTTGGCCGCGAGGCGATACGGTGGCGAAGTAGTCTCCTCTCCGGTGCCAGTTGACAATCTTGACTGCTGCTCGGACTTCAATTTGGACGAGTACGCCCTTGTTCTCAAGACGGGCTCCGGGACGGCTCCACTTGCCTGGTGCTGCTTTGGGTGCCTCGCCAAATGTTGTTGTGATGGGCTTCGAGGCTGCGTAACCCCAACCGGCGTCGAGAACCTCGCGACTGGCTTGCTCAACGTCCGGTGAAAGAAGTGTGAAGGGTACGATTAGGTAGACGTTCTCGCCGCAAGCAGCAGCTACTACGGATGTCTCCTTGGTGGGTCTCCATTGTACGGCATCTACAGCCTCCTCATCTGACAGCTTTGCGTTCCAGACCTGGCGACCGGTCAACAGCTCCCAGATCCTTACGTAGCCGTCGTCACCTCCACTGGCAACAAAGATACCGTTAGGATCGACCGAAACACAACGAACACGTCCTTCTTGTCCGCGGTATATCGCTGCGCATGTAGTCGGGAAGGGCTTGAGCTCTTCGGGGTTCGGCAGCTTAGGTAGCAGTGATTCAGGGTCGATGTTGAGTCGGTTTCTCCGGATACGGGGAGCCAAGTAGAGATCCAAGCTTCGCTCAAACCGTTCCTTGACGAATGTCTCGTAACCAGGAACCTTGCGCAAGGCATCGTAGTTCTTGGGCAGGAAGTCCGTCTCCCGCTCCTCATCGTCTTGCTCCAGCCACTTCTGCTCCTCAACCTTATCCGGTAGGTACTCGGGCGGTGGGTGGTAACTCGCTTCGTAGCCAGGCGGTGGCAGCTTAGGAGCGGGAATGTGCATTGTGTTATCGGGTCGGGGCTTCTCGTCCGCCCATACGTCAAAGGTGAAAACGTCTTGCTCTTCCTCCTGCTCCTCCGGTGCCCTGTATGGCTTGATGCGACCTTCCCTAATCGCCTTGACGATCTTCATGACGCGCTTGGCTTCATGCTTGGAGGGGATGAATCGTCGCTTGGGCTCTGGCGCAGCGCTCAGTGGCATAATCTCCGTGTTGACGCCAGAGAAGTAGGCGACCATCTCTGGGTATGGGTCGTAACCATCTTCCACGATCTCGTTCCTTGTGAGCCTCTTGAGCACATCCAGCTCCTCGGGCGACAGGTTCAGCGGTTTTCCTGTCTGGGGATCCGTCAAGCCTGTCCAGCCCTTGGGTATATCGATGCTGTCCAACAGCGCATCCAGCGCCTCTCCCTTTGCCGGGCGCATGATCTTCTTGCCGTTGATATCATAGCCAATATGCGGGTATTCATCGTAGTACTTGAGGTCGATGTTGCCGATCGTGTTGGTAGCTTCAGCGTCAGAATCGTCAGATTCGTAGACTGGGTCGATCTCTTTGTAGATGTAACGAGTGTTGCCGTGCGCATCGGTGGTAACAGTGTAGTTGGGCTTCAGATCTTCATCGTCCTCCAGTTCCCCATTTGCGCCACCCACGTCCAGATCCATCTCATGTGTAGGTACTCCATTCTTCTTGCGCAGTGGAACATCCGAGGTATTCAAGTTGCGCATTTCCTCACGGATCTGCTCTGCATCGCTGTCTTGCTCCTCCTCTTCATCTTCGTCGGAAAGACCCTCAATCACACTGCTAGCATCGGTATCGGCGCCTTCATCTTGGCTGTCGTCCGAGTCGTCCTCGGAATGCGACAGGATGCCCTCGAGCAGTCCGTCGGCCAATTCACCTTCCGAGTCACTGGGCTCCGGCGCCGGGCGCGTCACTACCTTTCTCTTGCGCGGGTTGACTGACATTTCGGGCGTTTGATGTTTCCTCGTCACGTTCACCGCGGACTGTCGCAACTTCCCAAAAATTATCGCTAGCGTCCAAGATTTCGGTTTTAGCGCGTCGCACGTGCCAGGCTGCCATCAGCCAAGCATATCCTCGTAGACTCTCCAGTAACTTTGTCGCAAACTCCGCAACTCCAACTCTCTGTTTACCCCACGCAATTGCAACCACCACCCGCATCTGCTACGCCAAGACGCCACCCCAGACTGATTGCAGCAGTAATTCCACCGACTCACCATGGCGACGCGCCACTCTGACTACGATCGTAGGCGCCATTCCCCGCGCCGCGACCGCGACCGCGGAGATCGTGGAGACCGCTATGGCGAAGGCCGCTTCAGAGACGACCGTGACCGCCGAGACCGCCGCGATGACCGTCGAGAGCCTGACCGCCGAGACCGCGACCGCGGCGACACGTACCGTCGACGTTCGCGCTCCCCGCCTCGCCGCCGCGACCGATCCCGTGACCGAGGAGACCGTGCCGACCGTGGAGACAGCTACAGGCGCGACCGCGACGGTGATAGAGACAGGCGCCGCCGCTCTACTTCACGCCGCCCTGGTTCCCGTTCATCTGCTACACCTGCACCTGGCTCAGACAGCTGGAGGCGCGATGACGGTAGACGCGACGACAGCAGGCGCGATCGGCTAGATCATTCCTCGCGCGACGACAGGAAGAAAGACCCAGAGACACAGGCCAAGGACAAGCTTGCAGACCGCGCTGCGAAGCTGGCTGAGTGGAAGAAGCTCAATGCCGAGCGCCTGCTCAAAGAGAAGACCGACACACCCGGCTCCGGTGCTTCGCCAGCTGCCACTGCGCCTGCAACCCCATCAGTCACTGCGACGCCCCCGCCAGCTCCGGCATCTGAGGCCAAGCTTGTTGATACCGCTAAGACCAAAGTCATTCCGCAGAAGAGTGCTACTGAGAAAGTCAAGCAGAAGCAGCCCGAGAAGTCGACCTTCAGACTGGATGCTTCCGCCGCAGCCCGTCCTCTAGACATGGCCAAGCCTGCAGGCAAGACTGTCACCAACGCTAGCAGTATGTTCATCCCAAACCCTCTTTTCACGAACCACAAGCTGACACGTACAGACGTCCCCATTGTTAAGGGCAATGGTAACATTGGCTCGTTCGGTCTCAAGACTAAGACTGCTGCTGAGACCGAGGAAGAGAATTCCAGAAAGGCATTGCTCGACGAGGAAGGCCCGACCCGCAAGCGCAAGCTACAGGCTCTCCCCGAATTCGACGCCAACGAGGCACCCTTGCTCGAAGCCGACGGCGACAACGCGGACTCTCCAATGAGTGACATCGGCAGTGATGACGAGAACAACGCGGAGCTTCAGGCTCGCCTTGAGAAGCGTCGCGCTGAGATCGCCAACGAGAACCAAGAGGACACTGCCATGGAAGAGGCAACTGCTGTCGAAGCCCCTGCCGACGACAAGATGGAAGTTGACGAAAATGCAGGCGCCGAAGAAGATGACATCGATCCTCTCGATGCCTTCATGGCCGATCTCACTGAGCCACAACCAAGCCGCGGAGCTCCTTCGGGTCAGACTATGTTTGCTGACGAGCTTGAGACTGTCGAGACTTCCGTCGAACATGAGGACCTTAACGAGCTTCGCGCTGCCAAGAAAAAGAAGAAGAAGGAGGTGCCTACCGTCAACCACGATAAAGTTGAGTACGAACCGTTTAGGAAAGACTTCTACACTGAGCCCTCCGAAGTTGCACAGATGACACCTGAGGAGGTCGCAGACCTTCGCCACGAGCTCGACGGCATCAAAGTCAAGCCTGATGACGTTCCCCGTCCTGTCACCAAGTGGGCGCAGATGGGCCTGCTGCAAGCTACCATGGACGTCTTCACCAAGATCGGCTACGAGAGGCCTACAGGTATCCAGTCTCAAGGTGTACCCGCAATTCTCTCTGGCCGAGATCTCATCGGAGTCGCCAAGACCGGTTCTGGAAAGACACTTGCATTCGGTATCCCTATGATTCGTCATGTCCTTGATCAACGTCCACTGAAACCAACTGATGGGCCAATCGGACTGATTCTCGCCCCAACCCGAGAGCTAGCACTGCAGATTGTCAACGAGCTCAAGCCATTCCTTGCGGCATCGGGTGTTACCATCAAGTGTGCCTATGGTGGCCAGCCCATCTCTGAACAAATTGCTATGATCAAGCGTGGTGGCATCCATATCCTATGTGCAACTCCCGGCAGAATGATTGATCTGACCAACGTCAACCAAGGACGAGTGCTTTCTTTCCGCCGCATCACTTACGTTGTCCTTGATGAAGCTGATCGCATGTTCGATATGGGCTTCGAGCCCCAAGTCATGAAGATTCTTGCGAATGTACGTCCTGATCGCCAGACTGTCCTCTTCTCAGCAACTATGCCCAAGAACATGCAATCTTTGGCTCGCAAAGCACTGCACAACCCAGCCGAGATCACCATCGGTGGCAAGAGCAAGGTAGCTCCCGAGATCACTCAAATCATTTCTGTCGTACCGAACAGTTATGAGAAGAAGATCAACAAGACTCTACTGTATCTTGGTCAGTTGTTCTCTGAAGACGAGAATGCCCAGGTATTGATCTTCACTGAGCGGCAAGAGACAGCCGAAGATCTTCTGTCCAAGCTTTACAAGTCTAAGTATTTCTCTGTTAACACGATTCACGGAGCTAAAGATCAGACTGATCGTAACGAAGCGATCAACGACTTCAAGCAAGGTGTTCTTTCGATTCTCATTGCCACATCTGTAGCCGCCCGTGGTCTTGATGTCCCTGGACTGGCTATGGTCTTGAACTTTGATTCGCCAACCCATCTAGAAGATTACGTGCACCGCTGCGGACGTACCGGCCGTGCTGGCAATAAAGGTACCGCTGTTACGCTTATCGAGAACCCCGGTCAAGAGCGCTTCGCTCTTCACATCGTCAAGGCACTCAAGGAGAGCGGTACAGAAGTGCCTCCAGAGCTCCAGGAGATGGCTAACACATTTCATGAGAAGGCCAAGGCAGGTACCGAGAAGTACTATGGCGGTTTCGGTGGCAAAGGTCTCGACAAGCTCGATGCAGCACGCGCACTTGAGAAGAAGCGCGAGAAGCGTCAACTTAAGCTGGAAGGTGTTGACGAGAGTGAAGACGAAGAAGAGATTGCACCACTCATCAAGAAGCCCGAGGTCGCTGGTCCAGCTGGTGTTGTTAACGCTTCTGGTGCTCCTGCAGCTGCCGAAGAAGATCAACCACACTGGATGAAGCTGCTGAACAGCAAGATTGTGGTCAGCAAGACTGAGCGCCCCGACGCTGCCGCTTCTGGCAAGCCGATGACTGCGCGCGAGCGAGCCATGGCCGCTGCTTCCAAGGTCGACGGCAGGCTGAGCAAGAAGGGTATGATCCACGCGGGTCAGCCCATCGACAACAAGGGCCCCGATGCTGGTCTCTACCACTCAACCATCGAGATCAACGACTTTCCTCAGAAGGCTCGATGGGCCGTCACCAACCGCACCAACGTCGCCAAGATTCTGGAGCAGACTGGTGTTTCCATCACGACCAAGGGCAATTACTACCCCGCTCCCAAGCAGCCTGGCGAGAATGATCTGCCCAAGTTGTACATTCTCGTCGAGGGTGACACCGAGAACATTGTCACACAGGCTATGATGGAGCTCACTCGTCTTCTGCGCGAGGGAACCATTGCGGCCGAGGATGCCTCTGCGACTCGTGGCCCTACCGGCCGTTACAGTGTGGTATAGGAAGTTTCACTTCGGTAAGGTATGCTCGATTTTCTCTCTTTCATTTCAGCGTTGCTTTCTCAGCGTTGCTTTCTTTTCCATGGCGTCAGTTCACTGCATTGGGAGGAATGGTCAAATGGATGAATGGGAAGGGCACGGGACGGAGTTGAAGGTTTCGACAAAACACGACCTCGGGATCGTGCTTCGATGCATGCCGCGTGACTGTACCACAAACGTAAGTTCTCACCCAATTGCTCCATTCAGAAGTTTCGTTGATTTACCCAACCGTCGCAGGTTTCTACTCGGTCACTGAGCCTCTGTCAGGCAACGACATCATTGTACATTAATGGGCTTGGCCACACGGTTCGCCGATGTGCGATATGCGGGAAAGGAAATGTGAAGGCTTGATTCTGGTACCTATGGTACGGCATGGCGCGGTATGAAGGATGGGGTCTTGGCTCTGGTGCCTTTCGTGCAGCCTGATGTGGTACGATGGAGTAGCTTAAGATAACCTTCCAAATGAGAGGCATTTCTGTCTACTACATGAACTTCTTCGCGTGTTCCTAACCACCCATATCTCGCGCTGTATCCTTCAACTTGCCTAGCGGCACTGACTCCCGATCTCCGGAGACATGAGTCTGCATCGCGACCTCATAGCGGGCCTCTTCGCCGATCCCGTATACTCCATCAATAAAGGTCAACTCAGCATCATGTTCTGCGCGACAATCAATACATGCAGACGCGAACCGACATTTATTCATACATTCCTCAGACCCAGATGCGTGGTACAACTACGCTGTATTGCCCTGAACACTGATGACGCAGCTCTACATACAGTATCCACGCCACACCGCACTGACGCCATATCGCCTCCCAAGCTGCAGCTGCAGCTGCAGCTGCATCATCTGAAAAACTCTCCTCGGGGGTATATCCATCGGAATATGTATGTGTAGGTGTAATGGCGCCATAGCTGCATGTCGCATATTGCATGCTGCATCTCCCACTCCCTCCCCCATCCTCTCATCCTCCCCTCCATCCCCCATCCACCGAACCCCACGCCGCAACACTGCATATCTCCTTCGCGTGCATCTCCGCCTATTTTAGGCCCCCACCAGGACCACCTGCAGGGTCGATACATGTCTTAACCTCGCGAAAAGCGAACCTGGACTATTCTGTTGATGATGCAGATGCAGGTGTAAGGCGCGTACGTACGTGCGTGCGTGCGTTGCTCGCAGAAAAGACGCACAGCACAGCCCTGCTTGCTGCCGCCCCCAACGCCACTCGCTCCAGCTGGATCTGGATATCCCTTCGTCTCGGATGCGGCTCGGCGAACCCAGGTTCAGGGCGGGTTTTACAGAATGGGGGTGTAGCGGTGGGAGGGTGCATGGCGAAGGATGCACGCGGTAGGGTAGGTCTGCGGAAGGACCTTCCGCGGGGTTTGGTTGGTTGGTAGGGTTCTCGTTGGTAGAGGGTGGGGACTTGGTAAAGGGTAGGTGGGGTGAGGTTTGCGGCCAATCTTTCATGTATTGGACTGATTTTTGGTCGCTGATGAGGTCGAAGGAATGGTTTCTGGTTATGGAAGCGGTCGGAGGGAGTGTAGCAGGTTGATTAGCTGAGTCGTTGGAGGTATCCTTGCGCAATTAGGCGTTCGACGTCGCCTTGCCGGACGTAGAATTGGGAGTTCTTGGTAAGGGTTATTGAGCTGTGACGTCGGTTAGCTATGGTGACTAGTATACAATATTTCGGATGCGGAAGGAAGGGTCGTAGTCTTCGGCATGCCGAGATGGCGGTCACGTACCCGTACTCTGTTTGGATCTCGCCCGCGTCCTTCAAGACGCGCACGTCGATGAAGAGATCGCGCGGCGGCTCCAGACTCCCCGTTAGATCGATATCCGTCCATTGCCCCTTATACGCAGCAAGTAAGTCGCTGTATTGCCTCACATACTCCTCCTCTTCAGGACTCAAACTACTCTCTTCCTTCCCGCCTCCAGCGCCCATTCCACTGCCCCTCCCCCCTTCTCCGCTATGGTCCTTGCTGCCCTGTTGTTCCAGCACGTCGACGCCCTCCCAGCAGTATTCTTCTAGCTTGTCGCTCCGCACGCGGTGGTAGGCGAGTAGACAGCGCTTGTTCCGGCGCATGCACAGGTGGTTTACGAGGAGGGCGCAGGCGGTTTCGGGGGATGCGCTGGGGTTGAAAGACCCGCTGTAGGGGGCGAGGATGGATGAAACGTCTTTGTCGAGGTCGCGCACTTCGCGTACTATCGAGCGGGTGAGCTCCGAGGCGTAGGGTGGGAGATGGGGGAGGGCGAGGGTGCGTTTGGCGTTTTGGACCTGGGGGTGTTAGAGAGGGTACATAGTATTGAGGTATGGGTGAAGTGTTCATACCAACTTGTTGGCTGCTTCTCCATACATGGCTGTGTTCTGTGTTGTCGGGTTCTTGAGTGTCGTTCTTATGGTGGCACAGAGATGTGACGATCAAGCAAACGCGACTGTCACTGCAATTTGCAGGTAATATGCGCAGAAGTTGTAATCTACTCTGAATAGTAAAATCGCCGTGAGTCTAACTGTGCAGCTTATTGTTTGAGGTCATACCAAAGATTGAACAGTTCAAGCGAGAGCAATTGGCGCATGCGATGTAACCGTAACATTTGTTGGACCCCGAAGGCAGGCGCGTTCCTGACGCGGGGGCAGGTGGGGCGGGGACGGGCCTTGGCTTGTCGAGTCCAACTTCAAACCTCTTCTGGCAATCCCTTTCACAACGCCAGCAATCCACGCAACCTCATTCGCCAGCATCGCCAGACTCTCGGCTGGCATCGTACATGCTATCACACACACGGAAAGATGAATCGGTGATACGCACGATGAACACGAAATCACGTCAGCATCGCGTCGAGAGAAGAGCGAAGGAAGATTGACCTAATATGTACATCTCGATCTACGCATGCGATAACACCATGTCTAAATGCTCTAAGCCCCCGAGATTTTGGTCCGATCAACGCCTTGAATGCTGCCCACCATGGAAGCGTTCATCAGAAGCCACCCAACGATGCTGAAAAGAACGGTATTATCCATGAACCACGTCGCACGTAAGCGTAAGAGCAACATAACCACCCAGAATGCACTAGCTAACGTGATACAGATCACTGCTCACCCATCCACTTATCAAACTCCGACTCTTGTTCGAGCGACACCATAGTCGGGTCTGACTGCCAAGCTTGGTACTCATCATGCGGAAGATCCAACAAGCCATCAAGGTTGTGTTGCTCAAGCCTATCTTCTTGCATGTCCGGATGAGGGTTCCGGTATACAGCGTTCTGCAACGCTGAAGGGTCGATGTCTGAATGACTTCCTCCGTCATAAGCCAACAGCAATGGATCCAGCTGCCCCTCGTCGAATGATGAACTCATATTCGGGTGCAGCTGTTGCAGAAGATCGTTCGCATTACCTCCAGGCAATCCCAGCATCGATGGATTCGAGTGGAATTGCATGGAAGAGGATGGCGTGTCTACCCTCCTCATGTGCATGTCGTCTGCGTAGGTCGGACTGATCTGCATATTCGGGTAGGCGGCAGTCTGGTAGTACTGATTGTAGAGCTCGTTGTGGCTTATTGGCATCGGCATCGGTCGCCCTTCGTTTGTCATCTCCCAGGACGATCGATTGATACCATTACCATTTGGTCCGAACGACTGATCGAAGTACTCTACAGCAACACCATTTGACGGATAGCTGAATGATCGATCGATTCTCCTGGCCTGTCGGGGACGAGACCTGCCACCACCGGGAGCCCATTCGGCATCGTCAAGGTCGCTAGGTTCTTCTTCGTCAGACCACTCGCTTCTTCGCTTACGAGCCGGCGCTGCTGTCTTGCTAGGCGAGAACTTGTACGTCGGGTGTGCGTTTTGGTGGTTGATCCTCTCGATCTTTGCGTACTCGTTGTATAGCTCGCGAATCTCCGGCGGTTCCAGCGGCCAGCTCTCCCCCGCCACGGACGATACGACTTGATGATTGTTTTGAAGACACCATGACTTGGCCCTTTCCGCAAACGCCGACCGGTACAGCATGAACGAGTTCATGGGACGAGTGATGTATCCATTCCTCTTCTCAACTTCGCGTCTCCTGACATCCGCTGGCCTGTTCACCCATTCCTCCATATTCTTGACCGGGATATGATGTAGCTCCTTCGTCAGTATGCTCAACGGCGCAGTAAGCTTGGGCGTTTTGTGCTTCTCGTTCTTCGGTGCTTTCGGCTTCTTCACTCTCGGTGTCGCTTTCCGTCTAGGGCTGGTCTCGTTCAGGCGTGGAGAACTGGACGATGTTGTTGCTCGTCCGCTACGAGTTGTCCTACGTCCGGAATCCTCATCGTTCGCGGATCTCGGTGTCGGTGGCGAGAACAAGGCTTGCTCATTCTATCATCCATTAGCAATCGGGTCAGAGACAATCGGCGACATTGCTTACCTGCATGCCGTTATACGGCCCGTTCTGGTAATACTCCGCTGGTGGACCATATCCCTCCTGTACCTCGATCAGCATGGTTACATGTGTGAAGACGCAGGGACTCTTACATATTGTATACCTAGTCCGAGCCCACGAGGATGGTTGTCGGCATGTGACGCATGTGAAGGGATCCCTTCGTGCGCCACCGAGCCTGGCGAGCCGTACCCTGTCTCACCGAACGAATAGCCGCGATCGACGCCATATTGCGCAACTGGATGCAGCCCGGACTGATAATCTGACCCAGCATTCGGTGGGGTCGGAGGATGTTGTTGGACGAGCGTGTCACCCCTCATCATGGCGAGTGTTGACGCACAAGTTAGTTGCTGCGACAGTGGAGATTGCGGACTGCCGATTGGCCTTGTTTCCGGACTCAACGCAACGCTTAAGCGATGGAGATCGATAGTTGAACAGAGCAAGCGCAACTGCAATGGATGGAATGACTCTTCTGTTGGTCAAAGGCCGTGCAACATGAAGACCGAAGGATTTTGTTGCTGGTGGATACCGAGATGCGTTCGTTGGTCTCTCGAGAAGATGCTGGATCAGACTGTTCTGTTCCAGATATTGTACTGGATATGTGTCAGTACGTCCAGCAAATGCGTCGCTCTTTGCTGGGTTTGCTTCACCGCAATGATGCATAGCAGTTCGCAAAGTGTTCAGGGAACGAACCTGTTGCAGTTACCCGCTTCTCACCGGCACCAAGGCTTTGGTGCAGAGACAATCAGCGTGGACGACTATGCGATACCAACTTGCAAGTCAGACACCGCCGTACTGTTTGAGTTGTGTTGTTCCGGCCCGTGTCTCTTTGTGGCGAAGGCAGAGCTCGAGCAAAGTGTGAAGGGCAAATCAACGGAGAAGGATTCTTTGTCCGGGATCAGTCGCCAGAAGGTATTTGTAGCGACTACACAACCTCGAGGTCGACTGCTCACGTATGTGTATAGTGTACTTAGTCGTCTGAACATGGACAAAGGCACTACCGGATTGGTGTTGGCTGGGCGCGCTTGACACACTCAGACGTCGCGCTGCTTTTGGCCTGCGAACCTCTCAAGCGATGAACTACCTGCGAAATGGCGCAAGACCTAGCCTTCTGGTCCGTTCACGTTTCGAAGTCGAAAATATCATGTCCGTCCTGTTGTGGGGTTGAAAGCGGCCCTCAGCCCCTCCACATCGACAGCTATAGACGGAAGCTACTCTCAATCTAGGCGCCCTTCCTTTCAAATCGCCTACCCCAAGAAGCTGTCTACCAATCTTAGCAGGGGTGTACTATGGCTTGCAGCAGTCATGTGCACTGGGCGCTCGCTATAGCAAGCCACACGCTCACTGGTATCTTTAGCCTCCAGAACGACCCCTGAAATTATGTTCCGCCAGAACATGGGCTGCATTCCTGCACCAATTGCATCACCGGGGGCTCGCGGTACCCTTTCCCAGCAACCAATGACATAGATGGTACATGACCAGAAATCTTCCCAAGGCCGAACGTGGTTGGTCGACCAAAATTTGGGTTCTTTCGCTACGTAGTCAAGCCTGACGTGCTGTTCACGGATGGCTGCAGCCTTCTATGTCAGAACCCTGACAGCTGGTCATACTTGGCAGGGCTGACCACGACACAACGATTTCTAACATCCACACCGCACATCAAAATGCAACTACGCAGTCAATCTACAGGCGGCGACAAACTAAGCACATCTCAAACACTCGATCTCAAACACATTATCATGATTTTGCGGTCGCCGGACAAAGGGTAGGGTCGGTACGGCAATCCCGACAGGCTGGTTACGATGCGCCCCCGCGGCGAGGTTCAGGTCTGTGTTGACCGCTCAAGCTCAGAATAATTCCGTCCATCTTGCCTCTCGGCTATTGAACCCAACATGCTGCAGCGACGACATTTGGGGTAAGCCCGTCACAGTCAACAGGCACTCAACGTCCTTCGGTGACAGGCCGCGGACATCTGGGCAAGGTCCTGCATATTGCATGCATACAGCAGAAGTTCGGTTGCTTCCGGTCGATCGTGTTGACATGGGGACCTGCCTTCGGAATGCGTACTATCGCCGTTTCGGCACCACGACCAAACAGTTACAGCCTTGTGCGACCAGGTTTGGCTGAGCCTCAAAGACGATAGTGATTGGTTCGAGCAAGCGCGAAACAAAAGTGGAGACCACTGTCTGGAGTATTGCTTTGAACCAGGAGGCTTGAATGAGTTTGTACTGTTTGAGCATGCTTCTCTGACCGGTCTACCCAAAAATGAACGCAAACGGACTATCACCATGCCAAAGCTGCTCTGGCAGTATCGTGAAGGACTACACCAGGACACATGATCGGTATTCATGGTGGGTACAGCATTGTTGACTCGAGCTACTCGTAGTCACAGGTGTCGAGAGCATCATCTGCGCACGTGTGTGTGATCGACGCCGTAGCTGTCAATGTCTGCCTCCACTGACCCAACTTCTGTATTACCTAGATAGGCTATATCTCCGTTACCTTCGCCAGCTATCGCAATTGCGAGAAACCATTTCCGCAATTTGCCATACGGTGATCCCGTCGGCGGGCTAGAGAGATAGGATCCGCTGGTTCTACCCGTCATCGACCCGGATGTTCTCGGTCACAGACCTCCCCGCGCCTCCGTCCACCTTTTACAACGACTATCTACACCTAAAACGCTCGGTACCTTGCAATAACTGCAAACCAAGAGATGTTGTACAGCCATTCCGCGGACGCTAAGAGTCAAGGTCAGCCCCCATTTTGCTGGAAGGGTTTGGCGGTTGAGCGGTCTACCCCACTTCCCAGCATTGTTACCATGGGACGAGCTTCTGGCACGGGAATTCCGTCAATAGTGTGATCGAAACCACCAATATCATTGCGCTCGAAGCAAGCTACGCTCAAGCTTCGGCCCTTTTCTGCTCACAGCACGACAAGTGCCGCGCCACCGGCACACTCGCGTTGAGGATGCAGTTGCATGACATCTTGCACGCTGGAGTTGCCTAGTCACCTCAGGTATATACGCCTCCGGCACCAGGAAGCTGGCGCTGGTACGCTAGTATGCGCTCTTGCAGTAGGCCAACGGTCGCAGTCCGATCCAGCAACTATGCCGCGAGGTACTCATATACCGATTGATGCTTGGTACGGCTCTCATGCAAGTATCGCACGATGTGCCTGACATTCTTCAATGTACCTTGATGAAAACTTACCCGTTCCAGAATGATCAGAAGACACGGCACAGTGGCACAGTCGACGAAGCTCCCGGCAAAAGCTTACGATATATCTATGGCGTCGAGGCAATGTCCCAGCATGCCGCTCAGTAACGGGACGCCTCTGTCGCTTCTGGCGCGAAGGCGCTTATCTCGCGTAGTTTTGCCGGCTAAAGTAGGTGTAAGGTATGTGACGAGTAGCGCACCAGCATCAGGGCAGCACTTGTCACACAACAACACGTGCAAGATCGGGGCTTCCGCTCGATCATCGCTTTCCAACGGTGGACTAAGGTCGTTGTAGACTGAGCGCCACCGTCAGCCTGGACATTCGCCTCTTGCTTTACCCCTCATTTCACGTCAAGCCTGAATCCTTCTCCATTCCATTCGGCTAAAACGTCAGCGTCGCTCACCACTCCACTCACCTTATCTCCTTGCTGAACCGATGCGGCTTAAAGATGACATGGGTCTTTCCTCAACCAGCTAGCATCGTGTTACGCCACCCCATGGAGTCGGTACGCGCTAGCACGTGATGTCACTAACGCTGCGCTCCTGTCGCTTACCCCAGTCGTTGGTCGACGCCCATCCACAACGGCTGCCAGCCTGGATGTGGGAAATGCTGAATCCTGTAGGGGTGGCGAAAGTGCATGTTCGCATTAGCTCGCATCTTCCTGCCCAACGTACGTTCGTTGAGCTATCTAACTTTGCATCACACTGCGCGAATGCGCGCGATATGAGATGGCTGGTTCTAGTGCAGAGGAAGGTCAGGGTATCCTCGCAGTACAATATGCCAGTCATGCGGCGCGCACTTTGTTCAGTGGTTGTTCCTTCAATCACAGCTGTGAGGTCGACAGCCAGTACCTTGCGTTTCTGCTGATACCAATTGCTTGCAATTCTCACAGTAGCAACGTTGACAAAGAGAGTATTCATTTTGCCTCCTTGGAAAGTCGAAACAGTGTCTCGTCAATTTCACTATGTCGCTGAGATGGTTCACCTCGTTCACGGCGTCATTTAGACATCAGCTCCTTGATGCGGTATGAGGAGCGCTGTGATGTGCAAAACATCAGACGAGACAATGGAGTGATCAATCAATGAGACAAGCATGTAGAATAGTCATTCATGTAGCTAACGGAAAGTTTTGTTTGTACCAATGATTTATATCGCAATATCATTTCAATTGCAGAAACGTGCCAGTAAACCCAGCTCAGGGAAACAGTACTGAGTTGAACGCGACCTGCCTGACGGAAACCCACATCATGAACGAGACCAAACCAATGTCGTCCCCTGACCACGAAGCTACGTCTCCGAAGTCTTTGATTGAAGAGCAGCAAGGAACAGTCAGACCCGTAACACGAACGAATGCTTCATCCTTCGCTGCGCCGACCAGGGCGTCCGAAGCGAAGAAGAACGAGAAGATTGAACTTGCTCAGTATGGAAAGAGGGTGGCGTCGACGAGAGAAACTTCTTCGAGGCCGGGTAGTGCGATGCGGCAGTATTCGTCTCCTGGGTTTGCTAGTAGACCGCAAAGTCGTCAGCGGTGGGGGGCTGGTACGCCAACGCGGGATGAAGATGATGGTGAGGTAGATGATGTTGATGACGATGTTGACATTGATGAGGAGGACGCAGATGACGAGGGGGCACACGTCGATGATGACGACTCTAGTCAATTTGATAGCGATGTGGAAGACAAGAGAAGTGTAGAGGAAGAAGAAGAAGGTGAAGAAGCAGCGCCTATTCTGGAAAAGAAGGAGCTGGAAGGAAAGCCGCTAGAGAAGGAGGCCCTAGAGGGAAACAAGCCAGAAGAGGAAGAGCTCGAAAAGCATGCACAAGAGCAAGTATCAGAGCCCGAAGAAGAGC